CTGACTTGTCTAGCACTTGCAGTGAGTAGAACTAGTTTAGTTTTATGTTTGTTAATTTTTGCATTAGATGCAAGCTCGTATGTTTTAAATATTTGTTTTAATATATTCTAGTCTGTGGTTAATCCTATGCTAATTATTAGATTATTAGCATATGCTATAGCTTTAAAGAACTGCTTTTCTAGTAAAATTCTTTTGAGTTTTCTTTCTAATTGTTTTAGCATTGGTTCAAATGCTAATATATATAGAAAAGGAGAGAGAGAATCTCCTTGTTACACACTTTTTTCTACTTTAAAGAATTCAGATAAGTTATTTCCTTCTATTATATAGGCCTTCTGGTTAGCAAAAAGGTTTTTGATTAAGTTAACAAATCTTGGATCAAAGTTCATTTTGTTCAGTACTAATTTTAAGAACCCATGATTTACTCTGTCAAATGCTTTTTGCTGATCAACAAATAGCATTCAGTGTTGCTTAAAGTTATCCTTTTAGTTTCTTATTATTGTTAAGATATTAAGAGCTATGTCTGTTATAAACCTGTTTATAATAAAGCCTTGTTGGTGGCTTGGGATTATATTATTACAGATTAAATTTAACCTGTTGGCTATGATCTTTATAAAGATTTTTGCATCACTGTTAACTAGTAAAATAGGTCTTTAGTTGTTTATGTTGTTGAGCTCTTCTAATTTTTTTGAAATTAGTATGATTAGATTCTTGTATCATGAGACTGGAAGGATGTCAGAGTTTAGAGTTTTATTAAAGATCTTCTCCAAAACTGGTGCTACTGTTTCTTCTATAAGTTTGTAGAACTCATAAGTTAAACCATCTATTCTAGAGGACTTGTTATTTGGTAGATTTCATATAACTTCTATTATTTCTTCTTATATAATTCTTTTGACCAAAACATTATTGAATTTATATTGTACTTATGGAAAGTTTTCTGTAATTTCTTTTGCTGCTTTCTTGTCAAACTCTTCTGCTTTGTAGGTTTCTGCATATTGTTCTTTAATATGCTGTAAAATGTCCTTACTATTTTGATGATTACTATTTGGAACTTTAATTTCTAAGTGGACTGTCTGAAATTTTCTTTGTTTATATTTTGCAAAGAAATATTTCATTGACTTTTTATCTTGTTCTATCTATTGCATTTTGGAACAGATATGTCATTTTTCTGCCAAAGCTGTTAATTCCTCTTGTAGCTGTATGTTAAGCTTATCTAAAAATGAAGACAAGCTTTTTGTATTGAAGAAGCCAGCTATTTTTTTACTTAACTTTGTTATTTCATTGTTAAGCTTTGAGATTTTGTTTTCTGCTGTTTTTGGCTTTCTAAATGCTCTTATAATCGATTGTATATAGACCTTGCAAAGATCCCAATCCTCTGTTGCATTTGGTTCACTAATTTTTTTCAAGATCTCTTTTTTAAGTTTTTCATTATTGAACATGGTTTTATCAAAATGCCAATTAGATGGTTGTTTTTGTTTCCAGTTGGAGTTGAGTGAGCAATTGACTAGAAGATGGTCCAAGTTACCAAAATGCATAGCAATCTTAGAGACTAAGTGTAATTGATTTTCATCAATAAATATATAGTCTAAACATGTTGCCATCATGTTACCACCTTGTGTTTTTTGGTGAAATGTAAGAAAAGGCTTAGAGCCTGCAATTTCTGCAGTGTTTAAAAATTTCTTGTTAAATCCAACAGTTGGTTCTTTGATAGGTCTAGCTGAGGTACTGCTTGACTTATTTTGTTTGCTTTAGGTTTTAGGTTTATGTTAAAGTCTTCTGCTATAATGTTTATTGCATTTTCTTTTATTTGAGAAGTTCAGTTGTCAAAAAATGTTACTCTGTTGCTAATGTTCAGAGGTGTATACATATTAGTAATATGAAATAAGAGACCTTTGTAGACAAATAATGCTATAATAACTCACCCATCATTGTTTACTTTCATATTTTTGAAGATAATGTTTCTGTTTCCAGCCAGAATTGCTACTTTGTCTGATTAGAATGAGTCACATATCCATTGGTGTTTTAAAAAGGTTCTAGTGTTTTCATTGTTAAGATTGGTTTCTTGTATCATTATTAAATCTAAATTGTAGGATTTTAAGAATGTTAATGTTTTTTGCTATTTGCCTTGATCATTTAGTCCTTTTACATTCAAAGTTGTGATTTTAAGTTTGAATTTTGAAGGCATATAAATGTACAAGAATTTTGACCAATTAGATCTGTGAGAGCAATTCCTCATTACATTGTTTCCTGTAAGGGCTAGGCCTTAATTGGTTCTTATCCTGTAAGCTCTTTTCTTTTTTATCTTTGTCTTTTTTATAAGATAGCATAAGGTCTCCTCATTGTCAATTTCCATTATAGGTGATGTTTCTTCTGTATTTTTGTTTTTTGCCTGTGGTTCTGCATTAAGATACAGTACAGCCAGTTCATCATGTAGTGCTGATATTGGGTCAGGTAAGAGGTCCTTATCTTTACTTAGTGTAGAGTTTCTTTTATTATTGTCTATTTCTATTGAAGGTAGCAAAGGCCTCTTTTGTTTATCTTGTATTAAATCATTTTCTTATAAGCCCATACAATCTGTAATAGATGCATCATCTTGCAAGTATGGGTTTTCTTTTTTGTCAGCAGAACTACCTGCATGGAGTTTTTGTTCTGGCCTGATATTAGCTAATTTTTCTTTGCTGTATAATCTAATTCTTTTTTTAAAGTCTTAATATTGTTGGCAAAGAGCTACAGATTCCTGAAATAGCTGGCATTTCTTTTTAATATGCCTTTCTTTTTCACAGAAGTAGCATACTTTTGCTGCTGCCTTCTATTCTGTTGTGATCTTGTTATCCCAAATATGGGTAAATCTTGGTTTTTTACCTTCTAAAAATGAATTTTCTGTGGTCTCGAAAATTATAACCCACTGATCTGTTAGGTATGGTGTACCTTCAATTAACAGAGGTTTAATCGATACTATTTTACCTATATTCTCAAAAGCATCTTTAATCAGGTCTGACAGTTCTTCTTTGTTGCCTAGTAAGACATTTCTGATTTTGGCTAGCAAAAATGATTTTTTTATATCTATTGGAACATATTTAAAATATGTTCTGTTGAAAATTTTAACACCTTTTGTTGCATAGATCTTTAGTTTTTTTTTGTCTATAAAGATAATTTCTAAATATGATCATGTTCCTTTAGTAAGATGTTGTTTAGCTGCAATAATATTATTTTTAGTCATTTCGAATAAAGATGATATAATTTCATTAAAAGAGCATCATAGACTTTGTATATCAATAATGAGAGCATTTTCATTCTTTGATTTAATTGTGTTTTTAGGAGAAAAGGATGAGTAAGTTGACTGGCCTTTTTTAAGTTTAGGAAAGAAACTTGACTATTTTTTTGTTAATGGTTTGGTTATTCTACTGGAGCTAGAAGTTGTATTTCTTTCCAAAGTGAAGTCATCTTGTTTATTTATTGGTTTATTTTGAGTTGTTGTTTTCATGTTGTTTTTATTACCTGTACTAGTCTTAGGGACCTCTTTGTTACATGTTGTTGTTTAAATGTTATCTTCATTATATGTACTAGTTTCAAAGACCTCTTCATTATATGTATTGACTTTAATAGCCTCTTTATTATGTGTAGAAGTATTGTTGTTTTGTTCTTTAAGTGTTTCTATGTTGTTATTTCTTTTTACTAATGAGATTTTCTCTTTTGTTATGTATGTTCTATTTTCTTTAAGTTCTTCTTTCTGTATATTTGTTATTTTTTTGAGTTCCTTAGTTTCTTAAGCTACTTGTTCATCCTAGCTAGAGTTGCTTTTGTTGATATATTCTAGTAAACCTGAGTTATTGCCTTCTACTTGTATCAGCTTCTTATTTTTGGTGTTTTCCTTATCAGCGTTTGTTGTTGTTTTTCATTTTTTTGCCATAGTGCCAAAGCTTTTTGTACTGTTAAAAGCTTTAAAAGTTCTTTTTTTTGTAACAAAGACAAATGCTCTTGCTTTGAAACCTTTTTTAAGATTGGTTGTCTTGTTGTTGTAGTTTATTTTTCTGTTTAGTTTCACTCTACTTTCAAACACATGTGGTCTGAAAAGAGTATATACAGATCTTCATATTGTATTGTTTTATATAATATCTTTAAATTGATTAAATAATTGATTAATTTTGTAATTGTTAAATTGACCTACCAATAAATTCATATCTTGTGACCCAAATTGTAATCCAATTTGTAACTAAATCAAAACCCAATTTGTAACCCAATCATAACCAAACTATGACTTCTAATAAATGTGAACTAGACAATCCATAGACCTAACACCTATAACCAAAATACTTATTCAAATAACCCTAAACTCGAACCAAGTTATATTTGCCTCTTTCAAGCCTTATCTAAGCTAGAGTTATCTTTTAGGATTTGTAGATTATCTTAGTTCATTTATATAAATTAGTTGAATCTGAACTTCTGTATAACTAAACCTTCAGATGAGTTCTAACCTAGAACCAATCCTAACTTTTCAACATACAAATATTGATATCTATTGCAAGCAAAATAATAATAATTCCTATATACATATATTCAAATAGTAAGCAAGTACAAAAGTATAATTGTTTTTTTTTTTTAAATATTAAGGTAAGTACTTGTGACCTAGGATTTTATTGATAGTACATTTAGCTAATGGTTGCTTTACAACTACAGAAGGCAACTATGGAAAGAGTGTACAACTAGCCACTCATACAACTTTAGTTATTGTCTAATTTAAGTAGTCTGCCCAAAGGTTCTAC